TTATTGAAAGAAGCGAAGGTGTGTTGTTCAACATAGGCTTCGTCAACCAGCTTGGTCCTTACCTCTGAAGGTAGGCACCTTAGGTAATCCGTTAGGAGAACCTGCTGGTCAAAACGCACACCAGGTACCACGATTAGTCGTTCTACTGCGTCCGCTAGCTCTCTAACATTCTTGAACCTTCGGGAACAAAGACTGTTGATAGCATCAGTGGCCTTCTGAGCCCCTTGTGGGTCATGCCACCTGTTGTACACGGACCGTATGAACTCTTCCAATGTTTGGGATTGTGCCCAGGCATCAAAGTTTTGACCGTAGCCCTGTTGCTGCACTAAGCCATTTAACCAGCGGGCTGCTGATCCTTCTAAAAAGGAGGCAGCCACTACAACTTCTTGCTCTGGCCTTGTGAGCTTATGCCTCACATAAGTAGGCATAGTTCTCACCCAGGTGTCCAAGTCCTCCTCCTTCTTATCGCCAGAGAAGGGCTTGGGACTCATCAAAGCTATCTTGGGCATCCACTGCATAGGCTGCATGGGCCCAGGTGCTTGCTGCAAAGGCTGCATAGCCACTGAAACAGGTTGTTGCATACTAACCTGAGCCTGGCTGGACAGTGGGACTGTAGTGACCACTGTTGTAGATGGTACGACTGAGACTGAATGAACCGGACCCCTAATTGCTACTAAACCACCCGGGGAGGGTATGCCAAACATGGGAGAGAAAGTTTGCCCTGTGCGTTGCGGCATCGAAGATGGACCCGCAGCTGTAGGGGGAACTACAACAAACTGTGGCGGCCTCACCATAGTGCGAGGGCCCCGAAGTTCAGCCATAATTTGTTTCTGGCCTTCTACCAAATCAGCCAACAATTCCTGCTGAACGCTTTGCGCTTCCGCCACTGAAAGTAAGGCGCCTCGCAGCACACGGACAACAGGGTCTAATATTGACTCATCTAGTCTTTCCAGTCTGCCTAGCCCTTGAGCTGTACTCTCTAGTCTAGCCTTTCTTTGCATAGCTTTCCTTCTCCTCTCTACTACATCGTCCATCTGTCGCTGTAACTCATCCTGAAGTTCTTCTGCCTGCCGGATTTCTAAGTCCTCAGGCGTGAGTGGAGACTGGTTGACTCGCACATGACCAATCTAACTAGTGACTCCCTGAGTTCCACTCTGACCGACTCCTGACGAAGTGGGCTGTGTAGAGGATTGCGTCATAGATGAGGTAGCCATGGCTGCACTGATGCTAGCTGAAACTCTAGCCCTAACACTGTCCTCAACTGCCCTCACTCTCCTTGCCGCTGTCCTCTCTCTAGCCTCTCTCCTCAATCTTCTCTCGTCTCGTGGACCTAACTCCAGGAATGTCAAGGGTCGACTGCGGGCAGTCCCGCGAGTAGTCCTACGGTCGTCCACTAGTAACTCCTCCTCACTTGTGCTTGCATCACTCATGAGCTACAGTGTGTGTGATCTAAACTAGAATCCACACTGAATCCTACCTTAGCTTGACACACATCCGCATATGATACACAACTACTTACGGTCGGCTGGAACAGAAATAGTTAGGTGATGTAGTTGCAACTAATGTCAGGTCCTACAGGATATATCAAATCTATTTTTAGATTACCCTAGAACAGATTGCAATACAGCAAAGATCTAGTCTATCTGTAGCTGTCTGTTAGTTGTTAGCAAGTCCGTAACAACTAGATAATCAAAAACAAAAATAACATCTCCTGTTGGAGATGTACACTGAATGGCAGATTGATAGTTGATTACCAYTGTGAACAGTTACCGGAATCCCCCCTCCCCCTGTATCCTTCTTGGGTAATCACTTTGTGTCAACGTCCCTGAGCATCTGGTTTGAGCAGCGTGTCTGAAGGTGTGCAATCCGGCCCACCCTTGTGCCCCAAGTCTTTGCCGAACATGCCAGCCAGTTCACTCTTATTTACCCTCGTACGGAACGAGCCTTACACCCGGTTGATCTCGCTGATCAGGAGGAATTTAAGAGCGCCCCCATCTCTTCAGGAATTATTTAAGGTCGCAGTCAGGATGACGATCACAGCCAGATTCAATCCGAGTCCCCAACCAGAAATGTTTATAGATGGTATGGTAAGCGTCTCATAAAAGGCTGGCATGCCCAGGTAGACCTCTATTGCGCAAGCAGCAGAACAAAGGACTTGCAGCCCAAGCATGCGTGTACTAGTCCCAGCGGGTTGGCATGGTGACCGTGACCTGAGTGCTTCGTCTAGGGCCCTTCAGAGGCTTCGCCCGTCTCCCACCAGCGTGCTGCCCAGGAAGAATGTCGACTCTCAAGGTTGAGCGCTCGCGACACCTCACATTGAGAGGGCTCTCAAGACAGAACTCACTTCCTCACGGTAAGAAGAGATGAAGAGGGTAGATAAGGAAGAGAGCAACGTACCTCATAAATGCTGCCCCCAACCACAGATTTCTCTCCGGTAACCTGATGTGCAATTATGATGACCGGTCTTTGCCTCAGCAGAACCAACAGCAGAATGCGGTTCCACTTCGGCTTAATATGCCACATCAGCGAGTTCTCATCATCCAGCATACATCCCGTATGTCACCACATAGCTCCTTGGCGCACCCACACAACCCTGGGCCGCCTAATGTTCAACGCCAATGCCGTATCACTGCCCCACACCTCATGCGAAGCACCAATAGCTATTGCGAAGAACCAATGAAGCGCAATATGAACCTGCTCTGATACCAAATTGCAAGGAAAATAAGCAACAGCGAGATGTCAATCCCAGATCACACGATCACATTGCAAGCCAAATAGTCACACCGTGTCCAGATAGCAGCATGGCACCAATAATACACCAATGGAGTTTCGTAGCACTGAAAACCAATGTCCATGGAGAGCACACTCTCTCCTCTCAACACAAGAGTCCAGTTCCCCTATACTCACACTTGGCGCTCAGCGCCCAGCCTACTCCTACACAGCTACTACAGACTACAAAAGACAATGCAACTGTTGACATCAGCAGCAGCCCGAAGTACTTGAAGATGACGCCCATGCAGACCATCGCCAATACAAGGTATGTGCCCTCTCATCATCATCATCATCATCATCATCCTTCACCTATCCCCTGACTTCACCCACACCTGTCCTCTCTGTCACCCGAAGACCACCCCTGCGCTTCACTGGAGTCCAAGCCCACCAGCTATGGTGGCTGGGCTATGGCGCTGCCCTCAGCAGCACCCTTCTCCTCTGCACGACCGCACGTGCTGCACCTCGCCTCTCAGCGCTAGCAGCAGCCTATGAGCATAAGCTCCAGCAGCGCTGCCGCCCAGCATGCGAGTGCCTGAATGAGGCAGCCAGGGCCGAGCTCTTTCCTTTATGGAAAGAGTTGGCCTGCTCACGCAGCCTGGCTGCCTTGGCCTGGGCCCAGAAGCTTCCGGAAGGCCCCAGGAGGCTGCCTGGATGCAGCAGCTACTGGGCTGCTGGGCCTCGTTCGGTTGGGCGCCCAACTGTCTCTGTATGATACTCTGAATCACGGCCAGGGTCTACATTCTTTGGAAAGGCCCGGTAGGCCGTGGAAATGTCCTTGTTGCTCGGCCTGTGTTTCTTTCAACCAACTGGCGCGTCGCAACTGCCTGAACCCCAAATATGAAATTGACAGTCGAAGGCCTTTTGCAAAAAGCCAGGCCTGCCTTCACTTAGGGCGGGCACCTCCGCCTTCACTTAGGGCGGGTAAGGCTGCAGACAGGGCCCCATAGGCCTACCGAGGACCCTGATCCTCGCAATAGTGTCTGGTGGCCATTAACTCTTTTTTTGTTTAGGTAAATTAGGGTCTTAACACTTCTTATAACTTCTTAAACTAATGTAATATAATTATTATAATAATATTCTTCTGTCAAACTCACCTCTCACTACCTACCTACCTACTACTCCTAAGGCTATACAGGGCGACACCTGCAAGCATAGCTACCTCTCACAGTGAGGGGGATATTTCATATTCCCCTTTGCCCTAGTTGTGGTCCGGGTGCGCACAGTTGGGACCGCCAGTGAGGACCCGGCTAGAACAAAGACCGAGCGTTTCGCTAGTAATCGCGCCTCCAACATTATCGAGTCCAGCAGGATTTGAACGTATGACATATTTATTCAACTTTATTGTCAGTTATGTGCCATTCATTGACAGGGCAGGTAAGTTCTTCCCTTTTTGTGTCCTGCTTCTTACCTTTTCCATAGCAGAAGAGGCGAGAAGAGTGATGCACGCGTGCTTACACTTGTATGCCATCATATGTAATGCCTCGAGTGTTTCATTGAATTGAAGTATTTGCTTTGAAATCATTGATTACAACGAGTAGCATCCGCGGGGGCTATATGATGCCCAGCAACCGCCCCACATGTATACCTCTAAATAAAACAACAAAGAAACGATTGAAACCCCACCCACCATAATGGGTGTGGGTAATTGGTACATTATCCGTACATATCATGCATTGTCTTTTTTTTTTTTTTTTTTTTTTTTTTGCCCCAAGAACAGAAACCTGTATGGTTCTGGCTCCTCGTCCGTTTTGGGGAGCATCAGTTTGGTTCGGTTCCTTTTCCACCGGCAAGTCGATGTGATGCAACATTCACACACACGCAACGACCCAATGGATGGAAGGCCCGAGCGGATGCCATTCAATTCAAATTTCGAAATGACTTGTCTCATCCCTTCCCTTTTTGTGTCCTGCTTCTTACCTTTTCCATAGCAGAGTCTGTTTGTAACTTTGTTGTATGTGTGCAGTTCTCTGTCTTTCTCTGCTATTCCAGGTGCCGTCATCTGCTTCACTCTTTTCGCTCCTTTCTCTCTGGTTTGCTGTTTTTAAAATCTGGTTGGACTCCAGGTCGATGGCGAGATATTCACAGCGACGAGCGGGCTGAGGACGCGGTTCGCAGAGGATTTCTCCCTGTCTCTGTTATTCTAGGTCCCGTCATCCACGTCGCTCTTTTTCACTCTTTGAGTCTTTTGCCTCTGGCTTGCTGTTTTCTTGAATCTGGCTGGAATCCAGGTCAATGGGGAGATATACAACCATGAGCAGCTGAGGAAGCAGTTTAAGGAGGACCACAAGTTTCACACGGCTAGTGACTGTGAAGTCATTGCTCATCTGGTTAGTGGCATCCTTCCCTTGTGACTACGTGTTAGCCTTTTTTCTACACATCTGAAATTGTCTTATCTAGCATCAGATTCGAAGCGAAGCGCCTGATGAGTGGGCGCACAGTGCAAGGTCAGGAACTCAATTACTCTCTGTTTATCTTATGTTTCTGGCTCCTTGTCCAATCTGGGGAGCATCAGTCCGGTTCCTATTCGACCGAGGAAATCAATTAACTCTTTAACTACGCTTGTGTTGGTGAGATTGAATTCCGGACAAGTAAGAGTCGACTTGGAAGGCGCGAAGCGTCTGCTGACAAACAGCGGCCCTTCCCGAGACCGCCGACAAACAAGGGGCTAAGGTTTTGGCAGGCGAGCTCCATGACGGGAAACTGTCACGTGTGGGTCTGAGGGCAGGCTTTCTGCGCTGACACCTATCCTACAGAATGACACCTTTTTTTTTCTTTTTCTTTTTCTTTATGGTGATTCTGATCTTCGTGTTATGGATGTTGGTTCGTGTTTTATGACATTTTCACTATAAGAAAAAACAATCCACCAACCTCGCCTCTATTTCCTGCCTGTGGCATGTGGTGAATATCGGCTCTTTTCAGAATTTTGGATAGAGGAGGGCAAGCTTTAAAGATTGAACAAAGCAGCGGGCTTCAGACCCGAAATGCCGTCTTCAAGTAAAATAACCCATGTACTGATACCAATGGGCTTAGCTCAGTTGATACACTGAAATGTGGATGTGAGTTTGAGATCCAGAGGGAACCAGATAAATGAATTCCTGAATTACCTAGGGATGGCCAGTTTGACAATGATATCTCAAGGCCCCCCCCCGCCCCCCCCCCTCCCCCCCTCTCCTTTTTTTAAGGGTATTTAAAAAAAAAAAGAAAAAACGTGTACTACAGATGAACACAGCAGACAAAGGGTCTCATTACGATTTGAGGTTTTGGAAGCACAAAATCTGGTTTTCAACACAACTTCAATAAATTATACTGACACCTCCTTGACACTACCTGCCCACCCTCCCCCTCCTGGCCCTTCCTTGGCCCTTTGTGAGGTCGAGCGTCAAAAATGTGCATGCAATGACTGTATGGTAGTGTATACCTCTTGAGGCATATGCATGCAGGGGCTATATCTTTTGATGAAATTTGCCTGTTAAACAACCAGTACGTTGCCCAGGCAAACTTGAGAATCGAAATTGAGCCAAGGGCAGGCGCCGAGGTAGCTCGAAAGGCCCGACCGGGAGACCTGTCTGCCCGGGCCGCCCCAGGGCAGGCGCTGAGGTAGCTCGAAGGCCCGACCCGGAGACCTGCCTGCCCGGGCAGCGGGGCAGTGTACCGGGTAAGTACCGCAGGGCCCAGGCACCTAGAAATATACTCTAGCCCTGAGGCGAATCGCGGGGACAGAAAAGGGCAAACAAATTATTTTCAAAATTGCAGGGACACGATTGAAAACAGTTCGAAACACATATTTTCCAGTTATGGTACAACTCGCTCGGTGCTGTGCAACTCTGGGTTCTTGGCACTTTTGCACATATTTCAGAATTTGTGAAAATTTTGAACACTGACTCACTGATGAATTCAAAACTTCTACTCTTGAGAACTCATACGAGTTGTTGTAATTCCGAAACAACAGATTCGCTTCTTGCTTCCAATGTAGCGTTGAAAGTTTCGCCAAAAGTTTTTTTAAGTGAAACAAAACCACAAAACTAAAAGCTACTAGAATTTGTTTTGAAGTTTTGAACTGAGCACGCTGAATAGTAAAATGCCAAATTAATAGAACGAATTCACACATTCTGATGTTCCTTTCTTATTTGTCCAGACTCTAAAAGCCTGCGTTGCTCGCGTAAAACATAAATCTTGGGTTTATGAAAATGCGCGAAGCGATCACTTCGAAAAATAAGTGATGTAGTGTTGTTTTCTAGTGCCGTACGTGATTTTGGTTCATAGATTCCAATTGATCACCATTCAAACTATTCATCATTCCATCGCACCATTTTGATGCTCCAGACACATTTGAAATTTTGAACACAAATAAACTATACTTGTGGTGTCTAAACTTTAAACATTCTTCATTGCATCAGAGGTGATGAAGAAACAGCGCACAAAATAAACTTATCTGATTGTTTTGCCAGGGGCAATGAAGCAGTGCACAAAAACTCAATATTTGATTGTTTTGGCGGACTTGCCGATTGGACAGCGGATTGCACGAAAGAAAAAAAGCTCAGGCCAGCGAGAGTGACTGAAGGGAGAAGAACACTCCATCCTGCTTTGTGTTGCACTCCATTCTGTCGAGTGACCTATGGATGCGAACTCGCCGGTGATGTGTCGCTGTTGTTGATTCTGAACAGTATGAGGAGGCTGGGGAAGATGCTGTTGCAAAGCTGGATGGGATGTTCTCGTTTGTTCTATATGATTCCCGGACGGGGAACTTCATTGCTGCTCGTGATCCGATTGGCATCACGCCAATGTACCTTGGATGGGGCCGAGATGGTGAGGATCAGAAAAGACAGTGCTCTGCAACCATGCACTCACCCAAGTCCCCAGTGTTGTTTGCGCAATTTGTTCGGGTGGACGATTGCTTACCACGCGGCTTCTCCCTGTCTGTCTCTGCCTTCCTCTTTCTTGCACACCCTTGCTTTTGCCGTATGGCATTTGACAGCTTTATGTTCACTGTACAATGGGGACCTCATTGACCCTTCCTTTTTTGTTCTTTTTTTCCTTTTTCTTTTCAGTGCATCCTACGGTCCTGGGAGGATAAGAGCACCGTGGGGTTCGATGAGTTTTCAATTTTTCGCAGATGGGTGCGGTCGATTGGTGGGGAGCAGCACCTGCTGGAAACCGGGTCCGGCGTCCCTGTTACAACGTATTCTGAGAAAAATACTGGGAGCATTACCCAGCTTCGCTTTTGCTTCCTCTGCAGCTCGACCTCCCAGCTGCTCGGCTGCCTACACTGATCTGGAGAAACTAGCCTTGCTGTTGAGGAAGCGATATTGATGCGCGTACTTGATGGGGTTCTCTTATGTTGATGCCAAAGGGGTTCCCAGACATTGGTGTCCCGCCTCTGGGGAAGTAAGCAGGTGGTGTCTGGGTTTGGCACGACCTGCCTCTCAGGGTACATGGTGTGAGGATTGGGCCAACTGAAGGGGCGAGAGAGAAGGGACGATAGTTGGGGGGATGATTGGGAGTGGCTAGGGCATCTTCGATGGGGCCATTTATCTCCAAGGGATGGGGCAGGAAGCAGGTTTTGTTGGGGTTTGCCTCAACTTTTGTCTTGGGTATGTGGTGTGAGGATTGTGCCGAGTGGAGGGGCGGGAGAGAAGAGGGGACGATTGGGAGGTATGATCTTTATGGTGGTTAGGGCATCTTTGATGGGGGCGGTTATCTCCAAGGGCTGGGGCAGGAACAAGTTTTGTCGGGGTTTGCCTAAACTTGTCTCTTGGGTATGTGGTGTGCGCCAAGGGGAGGGGCGGGAGAGAAGAGGGGACGAGATGAGGGGACGATTGGGGGAGGTATGATCTTTATGGTGGTGAGGGCATCTTTTGGGGGTGGGGGGGGGTGCAGTTGTCTCCGAGAGAAAGTCTCAAAGAGACCCTGAGAAGAGGGAGAGGAGTTTCTAAGGGTCTCTGCCGATGGTTGGAGGATTCACCAAGGGGGCGTAGTTGGGGCTACCCTGAGGAGGAGCTGGCTCACACATTCAAGAAGTAGAGAGTGGAGGGGTCCTCTGGTGGGGATGAGAGGAGGCACTAAGTGAGCTTGGGGAGAGTGGGGCATGCCAAGGATGCGTTTGCGTCTGCAACTGGCCCTCAAGAGGAGTGGGGAGTCTCTGAGGGGATGATGGGGAAACCTCTAGAGGGGTGGCGGGGGGGGGGGGGGGGGCAGCGCTGAACATGAACTACCAAAACTGTTGCACAAACTCTGGATGAAACCCTTGGCTGGACACTTGGCGACTTTATTCGGTACCCATGGGGATGTTGTAGAACTTGTAGGATATGTTAATACATCAGAGAGTGACAGAAACCATAAAAGGATTGATTTTTTCAATTTTTTTTGTTCACTAAAGAGTGCAAGAGTAAGCAGCGCTTAGAGAGCAATAAATTGTGCATGTGTTCAAAGTTCAAACTTAAATTACTGGCAACCTCCTCTTTCTCTGTTCTACATGTCTTCACTTACTGGCAGTCTCCATAGTTCCCTCCACCCTTCTTTTTCTGTCTGTCTGTCTACCTGCCTCTCTTTCTGGATTTGAGTTGCTTATCTGTTTGCCGATTTCTTGGTCTATATCACGGTATTATCACCGCTGCAGGTTCCTCGAGCTCTGTCCCAAATGGTTTTTGTGTCGCTTTGCTGTTGTCCGACGTCAGTCTGGTGACTGAACTGTCCCTCTTTTATCGTGGTTTGCAGGTTCTGTGTGGTTCGCTTCCGAAATGAAGGCCCTCAAGGATGATTGTGAGCGGTTCGAGGTGTTTCCCCCAGGGCACATCTTCTCAAGTGTTGAAGGTCAGCTAGCTGCTTAACAGGTTTTTGACAATTTGCGGCGAGTTTTTTGAGTGATTGTTCCCCAACCCCCCTGCCTCCCCCTCTGGTCGCCCGGATGTTTGGATATTTGGTATGCAATTGGGCCAAGCATTGACTGGTGCTGTTCTTTGCAAGCGGGAAAAAACTTCAAAAAAGAAGAAAAGAAAAGAAAAGGCAGCTGCATAAACCGCCACTGCGTCAAAGGCTGTTTTTTTTTTTTCGCTACGCAATATCGTGCTGCACCCCCAAGTTCAAAACGAACCAGTGCGGACACACATTGTTTTCCTTTTTTTTTTTGGGGGGGGGGGGGGGGCGCTGGCGGCTTCAGCCATTTGAGTCCGGTAGCCCCCAGCCCCTGAAACCGTCGGAAGTATGTGGCAACACATACTTCCGACGGTTTCAGGGGCTGGGGGCTACCGGACTCAAATGGCTGAAACCGCCAGCATGCTCGATTTGCCTGGGGTGCATAGTGGTGGGTTTCTTAATGGATGTCGATGATGTCGTATGATAAGCATGTAGCTTGTGTTTCTTGCTCATGTGAGGGAGAAGGGGTCGTTGACTCGTTTGTGGTTTTGTAGTGCCTTGAACTGCATTCCATTTTTTTTTTTAATCACTGTGCATATCACGATGGCATGTACTGAGCAGGTAGGTTGGTGGTGAAATCCCTTTCCTGATCAGATGCCGTGTACTCTTTGCAGATCATCCCTTGTGCCGAAATCCGTTTTTGTTCTTGCCTCTGCACGAACAGTGAGGACCAATAGCAGTCATACCTTCAAAATTCAGAGTCTGCAGACCCTTCTGGGTATTGATGAGAAGTTGAGAACTGATGGTTACCCGTTTTTTTTGTCTCCCCCCATCCCCCCCCCCCCAATGTCATCCGTGCGCAGGGGCCATGCTAATCTTCTCCGTATCGTTCCAATTTTAACGGAGTCCAACTGAAGGCTATCCTAATAACTTGGAGTCCAACTGAAGGCTATCCTAATAACTTGGCTGTGTAGGAATCCTTATATGCTTATACCTGGAAATGGCTTGACTGATGGTCTTTTATGTTGCAATCAACATGCCTATCAAAAACTGTCCTTCCCTTTGAACGGGTGTGTGGTTAGACCACGCCTCTCTCTGGTGGACTACCTTAACGCATATGCGTTGTAATCGAAGACAACACATGGGTTAGTTTCTATTCGAATACAACGCATGTGTGTTCTATTTGAACAGCCCTACTATTCGAATACAACGCACGTGCGTTCTATTCGAATCATCGATTTTTTCTTCTTCGAAAACTCAAATACGACGCATATGCGTCATGTTCGGGGGAAGACGGTAGTGCTCCCTTCTGTCCATGTGGGGACAATTGTTGGTGATAAACTTTTTGGTTGATGGACTCGAAAGAAGAGAGTTGTTGGTCTGATGAGTTGTACCTGTCCTGTCCATACGTAGCGTGATTAAAGAACTGCACAGCAGAAGGCAAAAGAATGGTTTCAGTGTGCCTTGTGTTGTCGTCTATTTACTTTGGTTGTTTCCCAAAGTACGCACTTTGAATTAACGCATATGTAACAATATATACGTGTCTCTAATATATAGCTGTGTGAATGTGTACGGGTGACACGGTCATCTGTCTTTGCAGGAGGCTTACGCAGGTACTACAGCCCCCCTTGGTTCAACGAAAGCATCATTCCTACAGCTCCGCTTGATCTCTCGGAGCTGCGGTTGGCATTCACAAGGGTAAGCGGAGACGGTATGGTTGACTGTCCGTTCGCTTATTATGGCGTGCAACCCGTGAACGGAGTTTTTGTTTTGTTGATGTAATGACCTTGTTCATGATGGACATGTGACTTGCTTCCTTATTGGAATCATGATTCAATCAGCGGTGTTTTTTTTTTTTTTGGGGTAAGATAGTTAGTTTGTCAGAGGATCCTCCTTGTTCATGACGGACGCGTGACTTACTTGCTTCCTTATTGTTGGAATCATGGTTCAATCATCACGATTCATCAGTGTTTTTTTTTTTTTTTTTTTTTTTTTTTTTTTTTTTTTTTTTTTTTTTCCAGTTCTCCATATCTGCAGTATGAGAAGTTGTTAGACGACCAGTACATCGCCCAGGTCGAACTTGGAGAATCGGAAATTGGCCCAATCCAAAGATTCACCGGGTGAACAGTGCTTCCGGAGCAAAACGGCTGGCAGCGCCAGCCGGAAAAGAAACCAAGTGCATGACTGGCTGGTTCGTTTTTCGTCGGCGCGTGGGGCAAATCCGCGTCGGCAACAAGAGGCTTGTGGTGGTGCTTAACGCTGTTGCAGAGGGACGGTGCGAAGGGGAGAGAAGGGAGCAAAGTGGAGCTGTGTTGTTTATCCATTTGGTTGCAGCCAGAGCGTGTTTGGCAATAAAAGAGGGTCTGGGAAGCAGATGTATTTTCTGTGGCTTTCTGATTAGCAGAGTGTCTTACCTGTGTGTTCAGGCTGTTATCAAGCGGCTTATGACGGATGTGCCGTTCGGTGTGCTCCTTTCTGGTGGATTGGATTCCTCCTTAGTCTCAGCAGTTGCTGCCCGCCATATCAAGGAATCAAACGTCGGTGACAAGTGGGGTCATCAGCTGCACTCCTTTTCAATCGGGCTGAAGGTAAGATAAGATCCCCTTCGCATTATTATATACGTGACAAGTGCTCTCCGTCAGTTACTCTCACTTGAGCCTCTCTCAAGAGCATTTGCCATATCGAAGGAATCAAACGGCCTAGAGATGTTGTTAGGGTAGATGCTAGGAGAGGGGGGTGACAGCTTTGGTAAAATGCTCTTGAGAGAGGCTTAAACCACCACTCTACCCGACGTTGGAAAGTCGGGGGACCGGTAGCACAGGTTCATGGGGCTACCAGTAGCATAGTTTGGAGAACCGGCACAGCGGCTACAATTGAAAATGTGATGAATTGCCGCCACGACCTATTTCGTGGTTGAAACAAAGCTTTTTGAAAATTTTGAATATTTTTCCTGCAAAGATCACAACCAAATCTACAGACCCCTCCAATTTTCAGATTCTTTGACAGATTCTTCTGAGGGTGACAAATCGATGAATTTTTTGGGGTACTTATCCCGTTGGCCCACAAGTTGTAGAGCGGCAAAAATGGAAAATGTGATGAATTGGCGCGGCATTTATTTCATGGGCTGAATGATTCCCCCCTCCCCCCCCCCCATTTTTCTGATATTTTTCCTGGAAAGATCACGACCTAATCTACACGATCTCTCAAATTTTCTGATTTGTTTCTTAATTTTTCTGAGCGCGAAAAATTGCCAAAGTTGGCGCGTGAAAAATTGCAGGACTGGACCCGCCTACGCCTGCCGATCGGTAACCCCCCTAAAAGACCTGCTCCGAGCTCACCGGGATGCCACTTTTTGGTGTCGGGTAGGCTGCTGGTTTAAGTGAGTGGGGGCCATTCTTTGTTGTTCCCTCCAGCCAAGTATCGTGTCAGAAATCATATCTCCACTGCGTCCCCGGCCTTGTGACGTGCTGGAAAAGCTTCCCTTGTTCTTGCATGGTTGTCTGCTTGTGTGTGCCTCGGTGCAGCCGAGCTTCTTGCTAGAGCTATTTGTTAATTTTGTTTGTTTTCATTATGGGAGTGATGTTTCCGGTTCTTCTCCGCCAGGCATCGCATTTTTTGGGACTAGTACCACTGCGTAAAAACGGAGACGGGCTAGCTCAGTCGGTACACCAATGAACTGTTGAAATGCAGACCTGAGTTCGAATCCAGATGCAACCAGATGACTGCAAGAAGATCATTCTGAATTACCTGGGGCCCGTCGGTTCAATGAAAAGATATCCCAAGGCTGTGGTGTGGACCTTTTGAAAAAAAGAGAAAGAGAGGGGGGAAGAAAAACTGAAGCACGCTTCAGGAAGCAGTGGTACATCCTTCCCTTTGGGAAGTAATCAATGCCCGTCCTTTGGGCCTTCCCACCACCATAAGCCTTTCGACTTGCCGATGGTGTAGGAGCCGGACTGATGCTCCCCAGAATGGATATGTAGCCAGGGCTATAAGGTCCTTTTCTTTCTTTCTTTCTTTCTTTCTTTCTTTTTAACCACTAGTACCTCCGCCAGTGTTGGGAAAATAGGGAAAACTGACAGTTTTCCCATTTCACCCGAAAAGTTCGGAGGTCCCACAGGCTCGGCAAGAGGAATGAAGTTCACAGGAGGCCGTGCTCACAGTAGTCCTCCGCAGCACGAATCTTACTACTAAGACGGTCAGATTGTGAATGTTGTTGCTTTCTTTTTTTGCTTTTTCTTATTCTTAGGAGTACCCTGGCAGAGTGGCAGAGCGTAGTCCGTGATCTGCTCAAGTTGTGTTTCGTTAGAGGACTGCCACCCTGATCACACTGGCACGCAGAGGAAGGGTTCCAGCCAATATCATGGCAGAATCCGTGTTTCCTTTTTTTTTTTTTTTTTTTTGGTTCTTTGTATTTCTGGAATCTGACAACCTGGCCTCGGGGCAGAGACACCGTCACTGAGGGCACACTCTCACACTACCACTTCCAAGAATGTATACAACTGTATTTCACGGCCAAAGCTTCCCCCTTGTTTTTGTGAGTTTCACGGCTGCAACTTTTCGTCTTCTTTTTTTGCTTTTCTGTTTTTTTTTGTTCTTCTTTTTTCCGTGAGAGTATGAGCAGCGAAAATAGTGTGCCCCAGGCGCGGGAAAACTCGGTGCACACTGCGAAGTGAAAAATTCAGGCTCTCGGCAAAAACAGGTTCGGAGGTACTAGTGGTTTAATGAAACGGGCTTCAGCATGTGACGTTCAATTGGACAGACAGTTTTGAGTTTACAAGTCGGCCCTTGACTGCTGGAATACCTGTGACCAGGTACCTCAAGATTTCACCTCCCTCTCTCTTCAAAATGTATTTCCCTTTCACGATCTTCACTCCCTGCAGTGAGACCGAAAAAAAACCGTGAGTACGAAAAAAACACGAGTAAAGAAAGAGTTGACTAACAACAGTCTAATGCTGCAATACCTGTGAGCAGGGATCTCCAGATTTAAAAGCGGCAAGGGAGGTATCGGAGTACATCGGAACGCTGCACTACGAATTGCATTTCACCATTCAGGTTGGTCAGTACATCTTCCGACCTAGTTTGATCTCTCCCACCACCCGTATCACAATGGCGTCTCTTTCGGTTTTTTTTTTTTTTTTTTTTTTTTTTTTTTTTTTTTTTGTGGGTGTGTTTTGCAATCTATGGACTGCTTGAGAAGCTGCAAATTGCAGTACCAATGAGGTGGTGGTTCATGTGAAGCTGATGAGGCGACAAGGACGACGATGAATTCCAAATTTGGAATCATCTCGCCGGTTTGCCTAACGATACGTAACGAGCCATGGGCAGAGAGCCCTGCTGCAGTCAACCTCTATCTGTAGTGCTACTCGGAAAGCCTGCCTTTGCTCCGAGGGATGCCATGAGTGGTGGGCGGTGGGTCCTAGGCTCCTAGACCCTTATATAAGTGCCATGGTATCAGCTGCCTTTCTAGTATTTCATATGGATTGGATTTTTTTTAACTGGAGCTAAGAGGTGGCATGGCATGGCATGGATGGAGGTTTCTCCAGGGAGGAGGGAATGATTTCAATGAAGACTGGGAAGTTGGGAACACTGAAGGCATTAGTGGTTCACCCTTGTGTGTACAGATTTGGATGTCTTGTAGGGTATTTATTATTTTTAGTGGAGCTGAGAGGCATGAAATGGATGGATGTTTCTACAGGGAGGAGGGAATGCTTTCCATGAAGAGTGGGAACATAGTGGGAACACAGAGGGAACACTGAAGGCATTAGAGGTTCACCCTGTGTGAACAACTGGAGAGGAGGTAGAGATGGTGGAGATGTTGATGAATGACTGGACGAGGTTGAAACTTGAAACACTGCAGCGATTGTACGCAATGGTTGTCATGTTATCGAGTCGTGACTCATGCAGAAAGGGCTTTCAAATTTCAATTTTGAAATCCCGTTGTTGTTTTTTTCGGGTTTTTTTTTTGTTTTTTTTTTAAATGATCTGTCTGCAGGAAAGTTCTTTCCGATCCTCGTTGGAATTTAGAAATGTCAAAATTGGAAAAACTCAGTTGTCCAAGTCTGTTCTCAACTTCTCAGTTTTTGACAGTTTTTGTCCAGGCATCAGCATGTGTGTGGGATACGACTTTTGACTTTCTTGATCGGGTATGTTCGTGCTGGATCTGATTCCTTTTTTTTTTTTTTTTTTTTTTTTTTTTTTTTTGGAACAACATGAGGCCCCTTCTTTTCTGGGGGGCAACAGTCACCGGCAAGCATGTTTGTACATCTAAGGGGAACAGTGTAGCCCTGGTGGGAGAGTCGCCTAGCAAGGGGGGAGCTTCAAAAGGGGGGGCACACCGCCCCAAACCATGGTCTTTCTCCGGGGGCCACCCTGCTGGCCGGGAGAGGCTTACTAGTAGCACCCCGACATGCAGCAGGATGGCCCTCAGAGGGGCGGGGTGCCGGGAGGGGCCTCCCCTGCACTTCCTCCGACCGCCTATCAAAACCCGCCGGTGACTATGTCATCGCTTTCCAACTTTGTCTACCTTCGTCCAGCTCTCATTTTATCCATCTTGTCCTGTTTGGGCTGCCTTAACACAGCAGGCAAAACCTCTCTTTTCCCGCACGAGCCTTTACCTTGGCTAGCCCCATGTCAGCCCCATGTCACTTACTATCACTTGCCATCTTTGTGTCCTTTGCTCCCTGAAGCCTATGTCGACAAGTCCTTTTTTTTTTCTTCTTCTTTTTTTAAACCTCCAGTACACGGCCCCAGCCTTGCTGAAAGGAAAACTCGCCGCCTACGAAAATGTCGGAGGCCCAGCTCCGTAGATAAATTGAATTGGCGGCGGGAGGCCTCCGAAAGGGCCTGCGTCCAATAGCTGGATGTAGCCTCTGATTCCATCGGGTTTCAAACACATAACCTGTTCCTCAGCAGTTACATGTGTGTACCATTCAGCCCCATGGGCTGGGTGGAAGGTCATATTTTGGCTTGTGAGGAATGATCATTCTTTTTTTTTTTTTTTTTTTGTGCCATGCTAATCTTCTCTGTATCGTTCTAATTCGAAAGGATGTGTTCTGCAGGACAGAGGAAAGGCCATCCTGATTCTGTTCATGGCAACTTCATGCAGCTTTGCTAGCCTTTTGACTCTTTTCGGTGTTGTTGCATTGTTTTCTTAGCTTTTCTTTATGCATCAGAATGTTTGTGATCTTTGTAGATGGGCTTCTACTTTCTTAAACAGTCTGTTCATGGCACATCATGCTGACCTGATTCTTGTGGGGTGATTCAGGAGGGTATAGATGCATTATCTGATGTGATATACCACATTGAGACCTACGATCTCACCACGGTCCGAGCCAGCACCCCAATGTTCTTGATGGCGAGGAAAATCAAGGCTCTGGGCGTAAAGATGGTCCTGTCCGGCGAAGGAGCGGATGAGATATTTGGCGGGTATGGCTGCCTCCAACATGATGTTGCGCCCTGCATTTTTTGTCATTGTGTGTGTCTAATCGCTTTGTGAAGGGGTTACGTATACGTAGCTCATAACACAAAGGGATCTTGGAAGTCACTTCAAGACCTGCCGTCATCGAGTCAAGGACGGTCTAATACACTTGTGGCCGTTGTTGGTTGGGTTCACCGGAACTTGAGGCCATTTGCCATTTTCTCTTTCCCGTGATCAGTTCGGTTCCCCTTCAATTGCCACATGCAACCTGCTGGTTTCATCCTGCACGTATCCCCAAAATTATAGCCTGACATGGAGTGTCCAGGGATCAAGGCCGTGGGCACTGAAGGCAGGTCGGCCCTAATGTTGCTAGGCCCATGTTGTCAAAAAAGGCCAGGGCACACCACGACAGATCAGAAAAGGCCCAGGCCCGAACCAGACCGGTAGGGACCAAGGGAAGCCTGGCGTCTTCAGGATGTGGGCCCAGTAGTGCGACCGCACAGACATCCTGGCTGGAGGCTGCTGGGAGGCTGGATGACAGCATCAGTGCATATGCATGTGTGTGTGTGTGTGTGTGTGTGTGTGTGTGTGTGTGTGCTTGAGAGAGTGTGTGTTGCCGTGTTCTCTATTCACAACTCCACAAAAAAAAGGTCGACTGTGCCAGACTGTTTCGTTGAAGTTTCGCCAAATCATCAGGAGGTTGGCCCCCCACAGTCTGCCCAGGATGCATTTGAATCCGTCCTTAGCCTACTTACTCGGCAAGTTGACCAAGTTGAGTTTCTTAAGAGATTGATGTTGCCTGTTTAGAAGTGGATTCGAACCACTGACACAAGGATTTTCAGTCCTTCGCTCTAACCAACTGAGCTACCTAAACAAAAACAAAATCAAACTATGTTCAATTCAGAAAAGGTAATTCAAATATTACTAAGTACAAAGGCACATTTTGGTAATCGTACACCTCTGATGGACAAGGACTCACCACGTCACCCAGAGTTAGCAATACCCCTGAGAGAAGTGGTCGACTTCACTCAACCCTGTAATCCTAGCAGACTGTCAGTCTCAACCCCTGACAAGAATAAGCAGTAAGTCAGAGAAACTAGTCTCATCCAGCCATAAAATCCACCCACTCAGCCATGCATACCCAATGGCATGACCGCCAGTATGGTGTGTGTGTGTGTGTGTGTGTGTGTGTGTGTGTGGGTGTGCGTGTGTTGTCATGTTCGCTATACACAACTCCTCAAAGAAAAGCATCCCTGTGCCAGACTGTTTCGTCGGACTTCACCGACTCATCAGGGGTGTACACACACACACACACACACACACACACACACAGACAGAGAGAGAGAGAGAGAGGTGAAGCCCAGAAGGGAAAGGGAGAGGGAGAGAGGGATGGAGGGAGGTGAAGCCCAGAAGGGAGAGGGAGAGAGGGATGGAGGGAGGTGAGTGCCAGGAGCGAAAGGGCCCTGCTGTGGAGTGAGAAGGATGAAAGGAGGAAACATACATGTTTGGTCTTTGGCATGAGAGCTATGGAGTAAAGTTGGCATCCGCTGCTATTGCCACTAGTAGACCATTGGTTACTGCAACTGATGCACCAGGGGTAACGATATCGCTCCCATCTTTCAGCTCTCCAGCTGTGACCTCCTGTGTTGGGTGCTATTTTGGTCATGCTGGCCACGCTTGCCCTTCAGCTTCCACAAGCGAAAAGAACAAAATAAAGGCACATTGCACATTTACTGAAGAGAACGTTAATGCTTGGGTGTCAGAAGTGCAATGATCCCGCAAATTCACACAGCTTCCCACACCAGAATAAGTCCACACTTCAGCACGCCAAACTGCAAGCACAAGATGCAAATCAACAGGAGATGAAAACACTTCAGAAATTGCCTGGAAGTCTTATACAACAAGTAGTATATATGCACACAGGGGGGCCTATGGCTGGCAGCGAACCTCAAACGGGTACAACTCTGACTCTCTAAACTACCGCCGGGCCTCAAGCTCTCTCCGAATGTCTTCTTCTCGTATTGATCTCTCTTCCCATCAAGCTAAGGTGTAGCACCCGGTGCCGTTGACTACTCCTTGCGCTTCTCTCCACTTCACTCAATGCTCAGCAGCAAAAGACCATGACAGCGCTTGTGCTGCAAGTTCGAATGAAAATTGTGTTGACCACTGGACTATTGTACTTCGCTGCACTTCCCAACGTTGGATTTTTCTCGTACTGGTACCTGCCTCTACCGGACCCTGGCCACTATTTATGGAGATCTAGTGTAGCCAGACACACATTCGGGCTGGAGAGGCTGGAGTGCCCAGCACTAGTAGAGAGTGTCAGCAGGGCAAGGGGACAACCCTAGCCATAGCTGTGTACAGGGTGCGCCCCCCTGAGAGAGAGAGAGAGAGAGAGAGAGAGAGAGAGAGAGAGAACCAGCCAGCCAGCCAGGGCCACCTGGCCGGCCAGACGGACCAAACGGACCAATGGACCGAACCGACAGTCGGATGGACCGACAGACGTACAGACGGACAGACAGACAGACAGGGGGGAAATGTTCTTGGAATGAGAGAGCCGTGGAGTGGGAGGGTGGAAAGGAGGCGTACCTGGTTTACCTTTGGCATGAAAGCTCCATGAACCTCCTTTTTGATTGAATATTCATGGGAGCAGCATTGCCACCAACAGGACAGGAGTAGTGTAGACTATTGTACGCTAGGGATAGCACAAGACATTGGCCTGTCGGTGGATGAAGTGATTGGCATTGTAGTTGTTGTTGACAACTGACGGAGGCAAGACAGCGGATTCTTTCTTTACATTACTCTGTCATTCCCGCTCTTTGACAATTGACGGAGGCAAGACGGGGGCCTCTTTCTTTACATTACTCTGTCATTCCTGCTCATCGCTATGTTGTAGAGTCAATGCTGGTCTGTGGAATCACCATGTGCAATGTGCGTTCCACTTTCATGCTACCCATGCAAATGGGGAAAGGGCATTATATGTCTCCTACCTCCTCTCATGGGGTAGGATATAAGTGGGTGGCTTGGTGTAGTCTTCTCATATGTGTTTCGTGATTGCTACAGGTACCTGTATTTCCACAAGGCCCCAAATAAGGAGGAGTTCCACAGAGAGACACTGCGGAAGGTACATGCTCTCTCTCTCTCTCTCTCTCTCTCTCTCTCTCTCTCTCTCTCTCTCTCTCTCTCTCTCTCTCTCTCTCTCTCTCTCTCTCCCCCTCTCTTCTCCACATTCCAGTGCTCTTTCTGTCCGATTGTTGTGAAAAGCCATGTACTGTTTTGGATATTTTGCAGGTTTCCGAAAGTGCTGAGACTGATCTGATGTCTGTGGCATTGACAGTCCCTGACTCTGACCAAAACATATAGAGATTCTGGACACACATAGACAAGGAATCAGGGCTTGGGGAGGAGCGGGGCGTATGGGGTGGGGAAGGAGGGGGGGGGGAAGGGGGGGGGTTATGGGAGTGTTAGGCGGTGCAATGTTATATCTGGTCCGGTTGAGCAATTGAATGGCAGGAGGCTGTACAAGTGGCGGCTTCGTTTCGAGCAACAGCTGGTTGAGCGGGCCGTAATCAAAAGCGAGCAAGCGAACGGCGGGAGACTGCTGTAGAAGTAGGCACGTTCTTTACGAGCGATAGCCAGCTGGGACGGGAGGTCATCCATTAAGTGAGCTATCAAGCAGTCGGGAAGCCTTCTGTAGCCGGCCAGGGTGGGGGGCAACGATCAAGGGATCACTCGATAGTCGGGTGGGCGGGCCCATCAATCGAACAGCAGGAGGCTGTACGCATGGCGCCTTCGTTGCGAGCAAAAAAGCCACGCATTTACATCTACATCTACATCACATCTACTACGTTTAGTTCTGCCACACCCATGTCACTTGAGTCGATATGCAGAGATGATGATGAACAGCGATGAAGAGCGTGAACAGCAATCAGGAGCTCCGCTTGACAATGGCGATTGTGGAATGGCGGTGAAGGGCGCGGAGAGAACGCAAAGAGAGCGCGCAGCAACCAGGGTGTTAGGACAAAATATGCAACGCACTACCTTCTTCTCCCAAATACAATCTATGGTCATTATAGCAGTATTTAGACTGAAAGATATCCCAAATACAGCCTTAATGAGTGTACGACGTGTACGTAGTATTCGGGGGAAGAAGGTAGCATAGAGTACGGTCTAGGAGATACAGCATGGCACTAGCATACAGCCTAGGAGATTGAAAAAGAACTGAGCAGGAGAGAGCCCATGATATCCCAGAACCATTATGATCTTGTCCTTCGGTTCCTTCGTCTTCTTCTTCATTATTGTATGGCCTGCAAGGGCACTAGAATAGGGTATGGCCTGCAAGGGCACTAGAATAGGGTACACTCAATGAGGTACACCGTGGCACTCGAAAATAGTAGAGTCTACAAGATTCCAGACGAGAGCTGAACACTACCAGAAGATTTCCGGGCATTGTTATGGTCTTCTAGTGGTTCTTCGAACTTCTTCCTTTTTTTTTTCTTTTTTTTTTTTTCCTGTTTCTACTTCTACCTGGTCAATGTATGCCTAAGAGGGGCACCCTATTCATCTTGTGCTCCCCCATATCACCCTCCTGTATTTGATACTTCTGATATAATTCTGTCTCTTCTGAGTAACTCTGACGCCATCGTCTCTCACCAGTCATGTATGCATCCTGAATCCGGATGTTTTGTTTGTACTTCCCCCCGTTCGTACACCGATGAACTGTTGAAACACAGACCCAAGTTCGAATCTAAATGCAATCGAAATAATTCTGAATTACCTGGGGCTGGTCAAGCTCAATGATGATATCCCAAGGCCATTGCGCTTTCAAAAAGAAAGAAGAAGAAAAAAGAGTTTAAAAGACCTGTTGTCCTATTCGCCTTTCTATTTTCGCTGCTCCGTGTGTGCGTCGTCATTGAAAACATGCGATGAGTCGTGCTGTTTGATGAGCTGACAATGACAAGCAGGGGCAATCAGCGCCTTGGCATGTTAGGATTGTACCCCAGCATACCACAATACATCACCTGGGCTGTAGGGCCAGGGCCTAGGTCACCTGGTGGGTCGAAGGATTTGATTCTTATCTCTCTGATCAAATGCACGCTATGAGATGGCAGCTCCAAAACTTGCGAGTTGTATGTACGACGCAGAGAAATTGGTCTTCTGAGTTCGAACTGACGGATTTCTATACATCAAGTGACTGAACATGGAATGCTTGAGAAACAGCCGACACACCTAGTATCTTGTCCTGAATGGAAAGCATACTTACTCACTCACTCTTAAAAAAGAAAAAAGAAAAAAAGGAAAGCATACTTATCGTAGTCATGAGAACCCAATGTGGCGTGAAGGTTGCACTGGCGGTGAAACACCATGTGAAGCTTTCACGTTCTCCGTGTGGACAGTGAAAGTTCGTGAAATGGATCACCGGATGGATGTGTCAATCAAGCGGTGAGAGTGTGTATGATGATGGTTGAATGGGTGGTTTTCGACTAACTGATGGCAGTGCGCTCCTTTGCATTTTTCTTTTGATTACCAGATTAAACTGCTTCACCTGTATGATTGCCTCAGAGCAAACAAGGCGACATCTGCTTGGGGACTGGAAGTCCGTGTGCCCTTCCTTGACAGGGACTTCATGAATGTGGCGATGAGCTTTGACCCTGCAGAAAAGATGGTAAGACGTCCCTCCCCTCTCCCCTCACCTCACCCTACCTCCCTGCTCTCTCTCTCTCTCTCTCTCTCTCTCTCTCTCTCTCTCTCTCTCTCTCTCTCTCTCTCTCTCTCTCTCTCTCTCTGTCTATCTGGGGTCTTTTAAAACAACACACACACACACACACACACACACACACACACACACACACACACACTCTTGACTTACATGCATTCTTGTCAGGGATCTGCAGATTGGTGCGAGTAAATCCGACCACCTCTCTCTCTCTCTCTCTCTCTCTCTCTCACACACACACACACACACACACACACACACACACACACACACACACTCTGACTCACAGACATTCTTGTCAGTGGTTTGGACCAGCAGTCTGCATGTTGGTATGAGTAAATTCGACCACTTTTCTCTGGGTTTCAAGGCAAATTGTGGGCGAACGCGTTGAGTCCTTGCCCATCAGTCAAATGCATCCAGGGCAGACCGTCGGGGTTCAACCTGCTGATGAGTTGGTGCAGTGCAAATTCGCATCGGAGAAAAGAGGCTAATAAGAGGTACTGGTGGCTGAAGCAACTTTTATGGATTCTGCCGCCTGTCAATACGTGAGTTTCTGGTTGGGGTATCACTGATGCTGCTGCAAGCCGAAACTCGTGTAAGCAGACTCAGAAGTCTGTACCCTTTGTTTGAGCACATGGGTAAGGGGCTCTGTGTTTTGGAGAGCAGTGCTTCAAGGGGGAGACGAGGGATCTCTAGCCTCAGGGAAGCTGTGGATTTGCGTCGCCGGCTATCGATATACACTTGTCTCAGAGTGCACGTGCATGTGAAGCAGGCGACTGTGTGGGCAAGTGCCGTTTGGCATGACGGGCAGCAGCATGCAAGCGTGCGCTGAATCACGAGTACATCGGGCCCTCACCCTTGTCGTCCACAATCCTACCCATGGTATTGGTATAGACACCATCGGTTTGACGCTGTGACAGTTTGGTGGTCCAGACTCCAAGGGGAGGGGGGCCGGGGGGGGGGGRGGGGACGTGAAATCGAGCACCAGGAAAAAGAGGCTGAGGTGTACCGGTGAGTTACGCAGACGGATGTGTGGCCATCGTCTACTTATTTTAGCCAAACGAAAGAGGGAAAGCATGCATTTGGCATTTTTTCTTTTGTAGATTGTTAACACTTGTGTGAGTAGAGTATGATCTTTTTTAAGTCTTTTTTTTTTTTTTTTTTTTTTTTTTGAACAATGCGCCAATCTATTTGTGAGGAGCAGCATGTGCTGGGAAACCGGGCCCAGCGTCCCATCATGAAAATGTACGAAGCATTGATAGTACCGGGGCCATTACCCGGTTTCGGCTAAGGATGACAGGTTAACAATTGTGCGAGTGGAGTAGGGTCTATAATACTCTATATATTATCTAATGAAATGGGTGTGCTCTTTTTTCACTTTTGGTTTTTTGAATCGAGTAGTTTGACTAGTTTCTAATTTTAGTGATCATCTTTTCCCTGTTTTCCACCCGAGGGCTGGACTTCGCTCATTTTTTTGATTTTTTTTTATTTTTTTTTTTTAACTGTTTGAAAGTTTTTTTTTTGTTCTCACTATATTGTCCCTTCGAATACCTAGACCACACCCAATAGATGGCTAATCAACTCCCAGATGGTCGATAACCGCCGATTTGAGCCTTACCACATAGTTTCAATGGCAGGATATTTCAAATTTGTGATTTGGGATTCTCTATCGCCAAGTTGCGCTGGTGTATCTTGATCCTGGACGGGATGTTTTAGGCTGCTGATGGAGGTGCTGAGATTACGGGTAGATTTCAGTGACTGGTCTTCGGGCCTGCTGAGGATGGGATGGGATGGGATGGGATGGGATGGGATGGTTGGCATTGCCGTGAGATGAAATTTCCTGTGAGCAGAGTTAGCAGACTGACAGTGTCCAAACTGTGAGGGCAGTGTGGGTGTGACTTTTTTTACGCCCGTTGAAGGTGCCAGCTCATACGGTTTCATAGCTTTAATCTAGGCTTCCTCAGTCGCCCGGCCGGGGCGGCACGGCCATGCACCTGCGCACCCTGCACGGCTGGGCGGCTGTTTAATCAGATTTATATTAACGAGATGTAAAAAGGGTTGAGACTCTTGAGAGTTCCGAACGATTAAAAACCCACTCCACACTTCTCTCCGTTATGGCAGAGAGAACCTGAGATAGGAGCAGTGATGTCTCGTTGGCTTCCATCATAGGAAGGATTAACCCCTTCTCTGCCACTGTGAATCCGGCTCAATCAGCCCATCAAGTGAAATTTGGAAGTATTATTTAATATTTAATTATTATTATTATCAGGGTAACCGGCGTTCGGGACGGGCCGAACGCCCGAACCCGAACGCCCGAACGTATGGTACCCCTTGGGGATGCGTTCGGCCGTTCGGGCCGAACGCGGACCCCAAAAAAA